AATTAATCCAAGTGTAAAACATGTACAGCTGAGTAAATTTCCATTTCAGAAACATAATTTAAATCATACAGAAATGGAGATAAACTATCCCATTTTTTCCTAAAGGTTACTGATGTAACTAGTTTTAAAGAAGTAACAATATTTTAATACTTAAACAAGACTCATTAACAATTAAAATTTCAAGAACTCTCAAAATAAACAGAATAATTTTCTCACACAATTTTAACAAATCATATAACATTCAAAGTATAACTGGGTGATTCATGTTATTTGCTGATTGATTAATCAACAGCTCTACTCACTGCCTACATTTCATTAATTAATTAGTACAGTGTTCCTCATACCATGGTACTATAACTAAAAAAAAGTTTGTAGCTGGTGCTGCAAATCAGTTGTCTTCCCTCTAGTCAGCCATTCAAAATTGGTGTGTGTCAAATAGTCTTAACAGCTTTGCAATAGCAATAGGAATCAAACTTATACATATATGACTAAAATTGATATATGGTGCCATTATGTACTTTTGTGCTCAACACCAAACAAGCATAACAGCAATATTTCAGTTATTTGGATAGATGATATATCAAAAACCCTAATTTTGATAAGTTGATTATTTTCATAATAATCAGTTTAACTGTAATTTCAATTAATCAATTAATTTACATGACATTAATTAATCTAATTGCTGCTCATAGGTAACCAATTAAACTGCCCAGCTCTAGTTCCATTTCTTTCTAAAAGTGTTGTATAATAACTTGTGTATTACAAATCTGTCAAATTTTAAACATTCAACACTTAAAGAAAGGTTAGAATCATAAACTAAGTTACAGGTATATTATAATAAAATAAAGAATATAAGAGGTACATGTGATAAGATGCTTATGTCAATAAACCAACAGAAATCTCTTTAAGCTCTTTTATAGAACTTTTAGTACAAATTCTATCAATCACTTCCTAATAGTGATTAATATTAACATATTATTTTTCTATGTACACATAATATGGGTATTATAAACACTATAAAATACTTTGGTACAAACAGTACAACAGTAGAAAATGTGAGAAAATTATTCTGTTTACTTTGAGAGTTCTTAAATTTTTAATTGGTTTTTTTAAGTATTCAGTTATTGTTACTTTTTTACGACGAGTTATAACAGTAACCTTTAGGAAATAATGAGATAGCCTATGTCTATTCCTGTATGATTTAAATTATGTATCTGGGATGAAAATTTACTCAGCTGTACATGTATTTATGTTTGGAATAATTATTTACGTTTGACACTTGGCATGAATTGAAACTTCAGGAAGTTTTATGTTGGACTTTTGAAATTCTTTGCGAATGACTGTACTGCTTTCGAAATACACAGTTTTCAGAATGAGCATGGCTGAAAAAGAAGACATAGACTGTAGTGATGTGGTGAGGCTCAAATCGTTTTATTATCATGTAAACTCTTTATACATGTAGGTGTCATGTGTGATTTGATTACTTAGACAAATCATCTCCCAAATTGGAGGTGTTGACTTGTAGAATATGTAAAACATTAACCTTCATTTTGGGTCATTAATGACTGGAACTAATTAACTGTAAGTCACTTTTTAGTTCCCGCCTACAACTGTATATAGCTGGTTTATTTTTGTGTTCATTTGAAGAAAGTTTTATTTTAACTAATTTTATAACATTCAAAGTATAACTGGGTGATTAATATTATTTGCTAATTGATTAATCAACAGCTCCATTAACTGACTACATTTCATTAATTGATTAGTACAGGGTTCCTCAAAAGATGGTAGTACAACTAAAGTTATTAGCTGGTGGTGCATATCAGTTGTCTTTATTCTAGTCAGCAGCTAAAATGAAATGAAAACAAGTGGGTAGTAAGTACTGCCAGCCAGTTGCCTTCTGTCTATAGGTATGGGGGGGGGGGGATAGGTTGGCTTATTTAACAAAGTTTACAAATTTTAATTTGACCGTCAGCATGGTTTCACTAGGGGAAAAATGCTTTTATCAGACTTTCAAAACACTTTGTTATCACTGATGAAAGACTAATAGGCCTATAATTACCTAGACAATTTTTAACACCTCGCTTGAAAAGAGAAGTAACATTATCTAACTTCCAATCTTCTGGGTATTCACTGTTCAAGGACTTAGAAAAAATAGTAGCAAGTGGCTCACGTACTCAATCCTTAACCTCTTTTAAAACCTTCAGGTAAATATTACTTCATCCAGGAGTTTTATTGTTCTTTAAACTTCCCATTTTTTTCTTAATAAGCTCAGAATTAATGTGATCATCTTGTTCTATCTTGTTTCCATTTAGCAACTGTTCAGGATGAAAAATATTGCTTATATCTTTATTAGAAAAACTCAAAAAAAAGTACAATTTAATAACCCAGCTGTCCCCTAATCATCACATACTGGTCTTCCTGTATGAGCTCTCAAAGGCTCTGCTCCCATCCTAACATTTTGCTTACCCTTAATGTATTTGAAGAAATCCTTATTATTAATCATCACACTTTCGATCAGTCTTTTTTTCATATACTTTTTGATTTCCTAATTTCCCATTTGACCAACTCTTTTGATCTTTTATAATCCTCCAAGTCTACCTCTACACTTAGTTTAAAAGTTTATATATACAATGCTTTTCTTTAATATTATTCTTTATATCCTTTGTGAGCCAACCTAGTTTTTACTTGCAGCTATCCTTTTTTTGTCTATAAAGAGCATGCCTATCTTGAATATTTAAGAATGTATTTAAAAACTATTTTTTTCCACATTTGATCAGTATCTCCAACTAATTCAGTTGCCCAATTCACAGCAGATATTTCTTGTCTCATCTTTTCAAAATTTGCTATTTGAAATTTGGAACCAAAATCTCACTATTCCTTATCTTCATATGCAGCAAAACATCAACCCAGATGTTCCCCAATCTCTACCCTATCAACATTTCTTTATTAGAAGTTAGCCATAAGTCTAAAAATAGTATTGTTCTTAGTAGGTTCCCTAACCAACTGTTGAAGAAATCCATCCCAAACAATTCCTAAGGACCTGTCTCCTTCACGATTTTACTCTAACATTTCCCAATCTATATGCCTAAAATTCAAATCTCCCATAAGTATAATCTCATTAACAGTTTACTTCTTTATCTCACTGTAGAGATTAATTTCATCGGTTTCATATGGTGATCTTTAACAAATTCCAACTAAAAGCCTTCTCCCCTTATACCACTAACATAAACCCAAATATATTCAACCTCATTACTACTAGCTTTGATATCATCAACATGAACAAGATCTAACTCACAATTTACATATGAAGCTACTCCTTCCTAAATATATTAATAACAGTCGGGCAATTAACTTGATTAGTTTCAATCATCAATTAATGTTTCTGATTAATTATTTCAACTACCCAAGAAACTGAAATATTGCCATGATGATTTCTCATTCTTATTTTCAATTCATTTAAGTTTGTTCAGCTTAATCAATTAGTACCATGACACACAACAGTAGTCAACTAATCAAACAATGTTTCTGATCATTATTATTTTTTGTTATTCCAACTATACAAGCTTGACATTAGTCTAAAAAATGTACAAAGCTCCCCCAAGCAACAGTGAGCGATCAATGAAAACTAAGTACCAAATCCCAACTACTATTAGCTTGATATAAAAGATTAAAAGATGACATTTTATACAAGAAGACAGAAAGTGAAACAAAAAATACTGTTATATATAGAGTAATATTGCTTCAATAAATTTTAAAATATAAATCAATGAATTATTGATTCGCAAGGCTAATACACTTAATAGAAGTTACAGAACTTACTATGTGCAGTGTGTATAGACAACTTACCAGATGCCAAAGCCACATCTCCTACACACATGTTTAATTTAAGCCTGTTTTCAGCCATAAATATGAAGTCAAACAATGACTCAATTTGTTAACCTTATACCAAGCCCGTTCCCTTGGCTGTGGTTTCGCTAGATACTGGTATAAGATCAGTACATGAATAATAATATAATGTCACTAAAAAAGTTGACTTAATAAACAATGAAACATCAACAATGGATAAAAACAACTACTACTATCACCAGATATTAATTTCACTAAACTATTACTATAAATTATGAGGCTAAGGGCATGGTTCAAACTGTACTACTTTACCTAAGTGTTCCTCTTAATATTTTATAACTTACAATAGTCAAAAGCTAATAAAGGCAAAAATATTATTATTATCAGGTTTCCTTATTAAAATAATAAGCAGTAAAAAAATTAATTAACTTACTTTTAAGATTTAGGCTAGTCTAGTTTAAGTTAGTTGTGCTTTCATCAAAAAGTCATGAAATTGTCAATGTGATTTGCAGTTCTACTAAACACTGAAAAGTAGCTGCAGCACTGAGAAGGGAAGATACATTTTACTGAACTAGTAGAAAGCTAAATGGCAAATTGATTAATAATTTGAAAGTAGACACATCATAAATGAAAACAATATCCTATTCAATGAAAATGTGCATATATCATATTTCACTAGAAAGGTAACATTTCCCTCTCAACCCCCAAATTAAAAAAAAATACTATATTTTCTTTGATTATTAAATACCTGCTTGCATCAAGTTAATTTGATAATAATTTTCTACAGGTATTTCCATTCACAGTTTAAAACATTTTGTCTTCAACTTCAAGCCTATTAGTACTACAACTAGTAGCACTAGTACAACTAGATATATAAAAATATTTCCTTTTCAATACTTAGTATGACCCATGAGAAATTATGAACCGTGTAAAATGAGTGTAATTTCATAATGGCAGTAAATAGTGTTGAATGTTAAATTTTCGCTTTAGGCGCTAGCTCAGTTACTAATGGCTAATATTATATTTATATAATATGTATACTATAGCTTTACAGCCTGTATTATCATATACTAACACTACTTAAAGTAAAACAGTGTGTAACAGTATACTACGTTACGTAAATTAGACCGTTCACGACTGTCCAGCGTGGTTACTTACTTTTGCTCTAAATAGTGCATTACCCAGTCAAAAACTTCTGCTTGAACATCTTCAGAAGTAAGATGATATCTTCCGATAATTCCAATTCGATACTGAACACCTTCATCAGACGCCGTTGAACTTTCATATTCAAAATCTCTTAAAAATCGTTTTATTACATTCACTCCTTCTGCCGGTTCCTCCATCACAAAACTGCGTGCTCTTATTGAATAAACGATAGAAGCCTACTCTGACATCTGGTGGTTTTATTTACATATGTTTAACAGGTAACTAATACTAATTACCGCTTGTTACCTGGTTAGATTTTTATATTGACTTTGCAGTCATTTTTATGATATTAATATTTTAATGCGTGATTAGATAAACCATTCTATTCAAGCATAAGTAAAAAATATGAATTTATAATAATTGTTTTGAAGTTCGTTTAAAAAACTGAAGTCAAACTTATTAGCTAACTAAATAGAAATACAGGAGATACATGGTCATTACATAATATAAACTACTGAACTTCAAAAACTTTTAAATTAATAAAACTCTCGAAGTAATTATTCAAAGCTGAGTTAATAAAACGAATTTTATAAACTTATAAACAACTAGATGCAATTATTGACTTGTTCGACTGACTTTATGATCAATAAGTTAGGATTACTTTTACATTTTGATAGCTTAAACATGACACACAACATCAGTTAAATCCCACGTTTTAAAATATTTATACCAGAAGAACAAAGAGAAATAGGGAAATACTTTCTTCCAAAAATGTACTTTAATCTTCTGTCATAACTTAAACTTGCTAATACAAAAATAGTATTTAACATAATATAGACTGAAACTCAGATTACACTCGAACTAACATTATACAGATGAGCTGAATAGGCTATATTAAAAGTACATTGAATATGCAAATCAGCAAGTCACGTGACATATACAACCACAGCGACATCAATTCTTGATGAAACAGTATGCATCATAACCAAGATTTGAAACTGTTTGGAATTTCGTAGTTATTGTAATACCACTAAAAATGAGAATGGTATGTAATAGTCCTTTCTGACACAAAATATTCAGACAGTCAGATCATAAAGATATTGTTGCGTCAGCGAGGTCACGTGACTATCACGCCACTCGTTCTCTCGAACCTTCGTGAATTGTCAGGAGATTACTAGATATAGTG